GGCCGACTACTGCCCTCTTTATGTTAGGTGCTTTCGTCACTGCTGTAGAACTTCTTGAAACATCAATCGCTGGTGCTTCGCAAATGCCGTATATCGGGCGGCACCGTAACTTTTCGATCTAGCTTAAAATGAAGCAAGAAAATCCATGGAACTTACCCCTCGTTTTTGTTATATATGACGTTCTGAAAAAATTGATCTCATAACTGGGAAAAACCGTACGCGAAACGATCAAGATAGGACAAAAAACGCTTTTTGACTTTACCTCGATGATGTAGGAAGTAGAAGACTCATAATCAAACACCATTTTAGGAAAAAGTCAAAAAGCCTTGACGCCTAGCAATCCCTCTGAAGAATGCGCAATTCGTCTCCCGCTCAGAATCGTAGTGACGGTTTGAATGTGTGTGTGTGGCTATACAATGAATTGCAGTAGTCAGCCGATAGACAAGTAATTGCTTTTATCCTCCCAGTTGAGTCTGATGGAAGGCTCTATTGGCCTGATAGAGTATCAGTCCAGGATTCGAACTGCGGACCCTGCTTGGGTGATAGTGCACCACTTGCTATTAGACCGCCTCGCTTTCATTTAAAGCATGAATAAACTGCAAGAATTTTTATTTGACAACTTAATACTCAAATTTGATTTCGATGCAGACGTTGATCCAAAAATTCATTTCAGGCTGTTTGGGTTCCATCTGATGGATGTTTCACGCAGGTCGACTTTTCATGCCTTCTTCTTTTACTTTTGGTGGTTCACTAGTGGTGAGGTATGCTCATATGTTACCAAAACAAAGGCAAAAACAATTAAGAAGTAAGATAAGTCGGTGTAAGTCACAAAAAGCAAAACACTACGTGATGTTGATGATGTGAAGCGAGTATATTGTGAAATAAGCAGTATTATTACTGAAATTCAAATTTATTCGGAAGATCATATCAAAGGACCATCTGTCACTGATGAAAGTCCAAATAGGGAGTTTATATTGAAGTGCTAGAAGCTGGAAAAAAGGCAGGAAAAGGTGTTTGGAAGAGGCTTCGAGATTAGTATCTTGCGCTTCATAAGTGCTATAGGTTGGTGCCAGCGGTTGCAAGACAGACAACTTCAAAACGTAGCTTGGCTTTTTCGTTTTTATAATTTTCATAATGAGCAAAGAAAATGATCCATATTTCAATACATTTAGGGTACTTGGGAGAGAATGGATGATGAAAAATTGGTGGAAGCGCCATTGACTTCAGTAGCTACAGCCTTAGAAGTAAGTTATCGATGACATCACAATCATCGAAGTTTCAATCGCTCGTAATTGGCAGTTCGAAAATCGTAAGGGTAGCACTTCCTGAATTCTAACAAGGTTCGACGGTCCGATGTGTCGAATAACGCCAGTGAATCTAGCTGGATACTGACAGTGTAGGCGATTCCGAACTCTAAGCATTCTCATCTTTCAACTGATGACGAAAACCATTTCCATTGCTGGCATCAGCAGGATGTTGACGTATGCTAGAAGGGTCTCTCAGCTGCTGAAATGTAAAAAAAAAAGCTGATCACTCTACCACATAAACTCGAAGGCCCATCATGGTGGTAGTACATCGATTTTGGATGCATCGAAATCGAAAATGTATTACGGACTATAGGGGCGACTTCTAGGCTTGAAAGGCTGTGGAAAGGCTTTAAACCCAAACCGAAATTGAAGTTTGAGTAGATGAACTGAGTTACACTCACAGCCTCTCAACGGGTAGATCGCATCAATATCAGATTTTCCTCAGGATAGGACCGATTTATTTTCTTTTCCAGTTCTCTCCAACGAAATCTAAAAAGGACAAAGCAAAGGTATCAGGTTTTTAAGCCAATATATTTGAATATCTCCTAAATACTCTTAATGTATCTGCTCCAGTTGTATTCCAAGGTATTTCAAGGTACCACCTCCTCTTACCAAAGGTGAGCTTGAGCACAGTGGGGAAGAAGCACCTGCAGTTGAACAAGAGGTAATACAATGCATCATTCATGTTGTGAAACGTCAGTGTTCAAGCTGAAATTGTCCTACTAAAGATAGAAAGTTGAAATAGGCATCATTCTAAATTTTTGCTGAAAACACGCGAAATTTGATGAAACCCCTAGCTAACATATATGTGATAGTGCTTGCCACTTCCCACTGCATCACCTCCGCCGATGCGAAGAAATATATCGATCTTGAAATCCACAATATAGTGTCCTTTGTTGTGTAGTAGAGGTCCTTGGAACCCTAACATAATATTTTTCAATTCAACTAAAGGAACTACGTTCAGAGCGCAACGGATTTCGATGAGGTT